AGGTTTGTAAAAGTTCCCAGTTTATGTATTACTAATAACAATAATTAAATTTTTTTATATTATGGGCCTTTTATAAACGTAAAACACAAAATAATTACTATAACTGGTGTTTGGTTTCAAACTCGGACAAACTAGAAAAATTAATCAAGTTTTATTTTTAATTGGATTAATGTTTTAAATTAATTAAACGTAATCGCAGCCAGCGATTAACGATTAAAAAATGTTATCATTAATCGTACAGTTGATTACGACGAATTAATTTTAATCGTCCAGCGCGATTAAAATTTTAATCGTTAATTTTTAATCGTTAATCAGATTGACAGTTTGCCAACACTGTGTGAAATCATGTTCATATTCACGGAGAAAAATGGACTTTTTTGGAAAATTGGCGCAGCACCTCCCATACTGACTGAAAGTTTCATATTGCATATCTCTTCAAATGTTTGGGGTAAAGCACTCAAGCTTGGTATGTGAAACTAATACCATACTCATGGAGAAAAATTAGAGTTATTGGAAAAGGTGGTGTGGCAAATCCATGCAAATTGATTTTTCTATGCTGCATATCTCTGGAGGTGTTTATTGCAGAGGACAGGAACTTGGCACCGAGATGTGTATAGAAAATGCAAATTGATTTTTCTACGCTGCATATCTCTGGAGGTGTTTATTGCAGAGGACGGGAACTTGGCACCGAGATGTATATACAAAACTAATTCCATACTCATGGAGCAAAATTTGCGCTATTCGAAAAGGGGACATGGCTCCTCCCGTACAAATTTACTGTTTTATACTGCTTACCTCTAGAAGTGTTCATGGTAGAGTACTGGGACTTGGTGCTGGGGTATGTAAAATCAATTCTGAATTCATGGAAGAAGATTAGGGTTACAAGAAAGAGGGGCGTGGCAGTTCCAGTACAAATTTACTTTTTCTTGCCACATATCCCTGGAAGTGTTTGTGGAAGAATACTGGAACTTGGTATGGAGTTGTGTATACAAAATGTATCAATTGCTCATGGAAAAAATGTGAGTTATTAAAAAAGGAGGCATGTCGCTTCCCATACATACTAAAAACTTCTTAATATATAATAAGTATTTTAAATTTGTTATGGAAATTTATTTTATAAGTGCCGTACTGATAGAATAAATTTCATTAACTGGGAAAGGGAGAGCCGGGTTTGGCCTTATAATCTAAAGCTCTCTTGAGGCATTTGCCACAGTAATGAGAAGTGGTATTTTATCAAGGCCAGTTTACTAAATTTGAGTTGGAAATATTAGAACCTGCCGTGGCACCTCCAAGAAGGTTACACGTTCACGCGTCGTATACCTGGAACCATTTGAGGTAAACTTAGAGGGATTGATATCTTTCGTATGCCTAGCGCGCAGACGAGATTTTATAATTTCATAGTTTTAAACGGTCTAAATACCTTAACTCGCTTAAAAACTAACGAGCTATAACGAAATGGGCACAGAAATAAAATCTAACATCATTAAATTATTTTTCATATTTGTATAAAAGCGCGGGGTGAAACCCGCGGGTATAAGCTGGTTTGTTTTAAAGCCGGTATGGACATATGAAACACGGTTATGGGGCTCTGCAGACCCATCCAATGTAGAAATAGATACTCCCAAGTTTCCTTTTAAAAAATCTTAAAATGATTGCGGACGCTCCGTTTTATGTCACAAACAACCAAATACACCGTGACCGTGATTCCTATTGGTTCTTCTGAAATAAAAACTACGTCTTGGCGCACCAACAAAAATTCATCTTATTTCAACACAAATTTCTCATACAGTATTATTACAGCGACTTAAAAGGAAGTCAATATTAGATCTCTACTAATATTGAACACCTGCGAAAAAATATGGTTGCAGCACTGGGTGTACTCCATACATGATTATTTTTATCTAGTAATAGGTTTTAAATATTGCTTAATGCACAATACAGATTGCAATAAAATATATGAATTTAAAAAAATATATATATTAACTAGCGCAAAATAGAAATACAAAGTGAAGTCAAGTCAAACTTCATTTGGTCTTCTCCTGCCAACACCAGCATAATCCTGTACTTTAAGGGCTATGGAATTGTTATCTTTAAAGACGAAGTGGCCTAGCAAGTGAAGAAGTCGTGTTTTAATTCACTAAACCATAATGCATTCGTATAAATACATACATCCATAGCGTATGTGTTTTGTACACTTTGCGATTATGTAGCTCATCGTGTTATACATGAATAAAAGCCAAAAAAAGGGTTAATGTAGTCAAATATACGAATTCTTTACATGTACATTTTCAAATAAGCGTACGTCATATATTGATTTCACTTTGTTTATTACATTAAGATTTCACTAAATTTTTTTTCTCGGCCAAATTAAGTGTCTGACATAAATGCTTTTTTTTGACTTTTGCATCATAATTGTGCTACCAACTTCATTTATTAAAAAAACTTAAATTTCAAAAACAAAAAAATTAGCGTAAAAAAATGATTTGAGCATTTAAAGGTAATTGGAATACAAGGACGAACTGCAAGAATAACGGGGTGAAATTTATTCAATTCCCTTCTATACCGTATATATAGAAAAGGTGGATGGACGCTTGCCAAACGCATGCAGAACTACATATTTCCAAAAGTTCCGCATGTTTGCATGAGGCGTGGCACCTCACATGCAAATTTTCGTACTGTGTATCTCTGGAAATGTTTATGGAAGAGTACCGGAACTTGTTATCAAGTTATACAAAATCTATTCCATACTCATGGTGAAATATAATTTAAAAGGTTCTGTGGTCTCTCCCATACAACTGAAATTTTCATACAGCAAATCTCTGCAAACATTTTGGAGGAGTAGAATTTCATATGAAGATTTAATGTATTGTGGAACGATTTTCCGTCATCCCTTGTCATATTTGGTTTGGAGACAAACCGGTTTCGGCGTTGTGCCATCTTCAGTATCATTTTTCGTTCTGAATAGTTCGTGTTTCCTTCCGCTTTTTATGTATTCGTGTTACTATCTGTTTTAACTGTCATTATGTCATGCAGACCCATCTAATACTACGTTTGCGACAGAATTCGTGAATTCTTCATTTCATGAATTCAAAAATGGTCCCGTTTATGCATAGTTCGCAAATTCATGAAATAAGGTGATTTGAAAAAGTGGCAACGCACTGGCGGGAAACTAAACAGTAGGGTTGTGACTTTTTTGCCTCCTTTCGAATTTACAAAAGCCGTTGGAGCCAGGCAATGAGCCTTATTTTATTTAAATTGGTTTTAATACATTTTCAGTTTATTCTATTTGAATTTACTTTATATTTGACCAATTCCGCACAACTTTTCCAGTGTTTGAAATCCTGGCTATGCAACTCATGGTTATTATTCTAAAAACATCATAATCCTAGTAAACAGCTGTTTGTGGAACTTGCACTTCACGATTTCATGAAATGATGCCGAATTCATGGTTAACTTTCGTGTATAACTGAATTCATGAAATGGTGTTTATGCAGCCATTTTTAACCCAAATTCTTGAAATGAATTCGTGAATTAGCCTACGCATAAACGTAGTATAAGTGTTTCAGCTTTTGTTTCATTATCTCGCAGGTAGGTGCTTTTTGGTTGCTTGTATTCGCCGACGGGTAATTTTTATTTTCTTGGTTTTCGTGATTGCGTCAGCTTATGTTCCGTTATTTAGCAGGTAGGTGGTTTTAGGTTGCTTGTATGTGCCGGCAGATACAAATCCGTTATTTTAGTCTTCTTGGTTTCTGCGGCGTGGGTCCGCTTAGAAATACTCGGCTGCGACGGCCAACAAATAAAGTCAAGCGCTCACGTGAAGAGCCTCCTAATGAAAAATCGCAGCAATTTGCCCACCGTTGTCACTTCACTTGACAATTCTGAGGTTGGCAAGAGCCAGGTCAACAAACGTGCGCGTTATTTGAAACCTCCGAATTGTCAAGTGAAGCGAAAATGGTGGGCAAATTGTTGCGATATCACGTGTGCGCTAAAACCATTTTAGTGCCAGTGACTTTATTTGTTGCCCAACGCAGCCGAGTATTTCTAAGCGGACGCTTTTTCCCAGGTGCAGGATTTATCATACCTAATATGAAGAGAAAATCTTCCACTCATATACATGGATAGACCAAATTTCAAATGGTGATCTGTTAAAACCTAAAACAGAATTCCTTGTTGATATAAAGATAACGGAAGTAATTTTTAATAAATTTAATGGAAATGAGATTTCGAATTACAAAGATTTAATAGCTAAGTTACTGAAATTAAGTTCTAAAGTAAATTTAGAAGGTTAAACTTTTTTTAATGTGTGATATACTTCAGAATTAAGTATTTGAATAAAAAACTAAATGCTCAAAAACATTGGGCTTGTAAAAGCAAGAAAATTGCCAAAACAGTTTTATAAATGAGTGTGTAGTTCTGTGTAAGTGTGCATTTCCACATTTACATTATAAGAAAATGCAGTAACTAAAATGAAGCTGATTCTAATGAGATTTTAAATATTTTCATATTTACAGAAACTTTCATTTCAAAGATATTGGGCTGTATGTAAGTCAATGCTCTTTCTTAAAATTTCAGACCTTTTACTCGATTTTTTCAAACAAATTTAAGTAATAGGTATGCAATTTTAAGTAAAAGCAATTGCTTATTTTTATGCATAGGGCTCATTGAGTTTTATCAAATATGGTAAATGCATAACAAAGGGTTAATTTCTTTGTTTACATTTTTTGACATTACAGTCAGCTATGAGAGAGCTCGACTGAGTTGTTATTTCTACCTCGTTGAATATGCCTTGGTTCTACCTTACTATGTTTTTATCATGATGCATACGTAATAAAAATCGAAACGTGTTTGTGAGTTTGAGTATTGGATGTTAAAAGTATTTTGTTTTCTAGTATCAAAAATGATCAGGCTGCATCTGAACGGTTTTACCTTATAGTGTTCTTATGTTATCATGCATAGAATGCCACTTTTTTTTTAGCTATTTTCTATTTCTGTGCACTCACCCAGTTCCGATTAATGGTTTGTCATTACGTTCCCAGCGAAAACTCACTGGTAAATCCCCTTCCAGAATTTGGCACGAAATGGCAGCACGCATGCCCTCGCGCAACATATTGGTCATTGCTTGGATAGGCATAATTTTAGGGGGTACTGCAACAAAACACAAAAACAAACGTTTTATTTAATATTACACATATATATGTAGGTATATATAATTATCCATGGGCGTAGCCAGAACCAAATTTAGGGGGGCCGCCTATAAACAACAAAAATTTCAAAACCAATAACTATTACTTACTATAAAGTTGTTTATTGTAGCTTCAAATTATTGTAACCACATAAACGGAAGTTCACAAAAGTTGATATAACTAAAACTTTTCGTCGATTTAATTAGTTAATTCTTTACTGCGTATATTTTTTTACGAGGAGGAAGCATCGAAAGCCTAAGGCCAAGGCCACGCAATGAGCGGCTTAGCGGCGCAATACAGAAATACCGCTTATTGCCATGATGCAGCGAAACAAAGGTGGCGCCTTCCGCGGACCGCTAATCCTCTCTTTCTCGACCTGACAGCATCCACCGTTTCGCTGACGCCACATTATTATTTTTGAGCTTTAGTAATGAATATTAAATATTCATATTGTACCTATTTGCCAAAAAGTTGTACCTAAAGGTACCTAAACAGTAAACAAGTACTTTTATGTTCATATATTTTTGATTCCTTCCTCCTTCTGTACCTTAACAACTTTTGGATTTACATGAGACAATATTTTCAAATGTACCTAAAATAATGTGATTGTACCGAATGTACGTTCAAATTTAAGAAGCTGAAGAGTAGGTACATTTCAATCTAGGTTTACATCACTATTTCGCGTTTAGGAAAGTCAAGACGAACAAAACAGTGCTCAGGTGGGGAAGGGGATGGGTGTATTAAAAACTTTGGGGAGTTATAGGGGTAGAAAATAGTTGCCAGTACTTTTAGAAAAAAATCTCATCTTAAGGGTAAGTTCTGTAAGAATTTGTCTCTTAAGATTTTGCATACAGATAATGTTTTTAATTTTAAAGTTATCTAGACAGGAGTTACCTATGGAGATATTCGTACAAAGTTGTCACCTACTCGAAATTATTTATAAGCTAAATAAAACATCACACTGATTATCAAGTGAAACGTATTTTAAAAATCCCTACTTTCCATCTTTTATGTATTTAATTTTCTGTTTTAAAATTAAAATACAATTAACTATTCATGGGTACTAAAAGAAAGCTCTTAAACAATGCCTTGCCTATATATAAAGTGTTATCCCTTAGGATATTAATTTAAGGGTTCCATTTATTTTCGATTTTACAAAATTTAACTAAAACAAGTAAGAGCAACGCTGTCTTCGGCTATGCCGAAGGCTTCATACCTTTCATGAACATCTGCAAATTTCACTTTGCATACATCGATAGAGGAGTTACATACTTATATAAAAAATCGCATCTAAACAATCAGAGGTATGGAAGATATACCTTATATTAGCACCAATCTAAGTGATTTTCACTGCTATGTGATCGGTATGTAAACCGGTAACACAATTTATTGGGTTCAACTTTGCGTTCAACATTTGCGTTCAACTCAGCGCAGGGTTGCACGAAAAAAAAGTTGAATGGCTAAAAATATCAAAATATGAAAAAATATCAAAATATTCGCCATAAAAAGGTGTTTGCATTGTTCAACTTTGCATTCAACTTTTGGTTGAATGGCCTTTCAACAAAGTTGGTCGCCAGCCAACATTTAGCCATTCAACTTTTTTTTCGTGCAACCCTGCGTTGAGTTGAACGCAATTGTTGAACGCAAAGTTGAATAATGCAAACACTGCTTAAGTTCCTACATAAAGGAGATATATCGCAAAAACTGGTATCTGAACAATCAGTGGTATAGGAGATAAAGCTTATACGGCATAGATTTTGAAGACTTTCTCAGTAGACTTTGTATTATTATTTATAAAATATCTTACGAAATTTATCGGTTTTAGCTGTTCAAATAAAGGAGTTTTACAGTAAAATTCCATATCTGAACAATCAAATGTATGGAAGATACATATATGTTATAGTCACCCGATCCTTGTTATTGTCACTGTAAGTATTCGGTTAATAATGAGTGAAAATGATGCGAAATTTCATGTTCCTAGCTGCATAAATGGAGGAGTTATGATAAAAGACCTCATATCTGAACAATCAGTTGTATGGGGGCTGCAGGTTATAGTGACCCGATCTATGTTATTTTCACTGTAAGTCTTCTGTTGATAATGAGTGAAAACAGCGCGAAATTGCATGGTCCTAGCTAGATAAATTGAGGAGTTACAACGAAAAATCTCATATCTGAACAATCAGTAGTATGGGAGCTATAGGTTATAGTTACCCCATCCTTTTAATTTTCACTGTAAGTTTTCTGTTGATAATTATTGAAAACAGTGCGGAATTTCATGTTCCTAGCTATATAAATGGAGGAGTTATAACGAAAAACTTTATATCTGCACAATCAGTTGTATGGGAGCTATAGGTATAGTGACCCGATCTTTGTAATTTTCACTGTAAGTATTCTGTTAATAATGGGTTCAAGTACTGCAAAATTTCATGTTCTTAGCTGCATAAATGGGAGCTATATGTTATAGTGGTCCGATTCTTCCGGTTCCGACAAATGATTAATACATTATAAAAATACACCCAACTACCAAATTTTATCCGGTTATCTCGAAAACTGAGAGACTAGACTGCATACAAACAGACGGACAGACAGACAGACGGACAGACGGACATGGCTAAATCGACTCAGCTCGACGTTCTGATCATAAAGGAATACATTTTAATGGGTGTATCTCTTTTTATTCTGGTACTTACAAACATCGGACCAAAGTTATAATACCAGTTCATGCTCATGAAATGTATAAACATTAATATGGATATCAAATAAAAGGTATTTTTAAGAACTTTTTGATAAAGGTTGCCATGTTTTTTTTTTTTTTTGTAGTACAAATTTGTGTCTTATTCCCTCAAATAAAGTTTAATCTGATTTTTAAACAGCTGGTAACCCATATGTTGTTTAGAAATAAAGCCCTTTCAAAATCATTTCGATTGATACCCATATTGTAGTAATTTATTTAGGTTAATTGTATTTAATTATTTTACAGGTGGCAACCCTTCTCATGTTCTAGCCCAGTTATAAACCTTCTCCTCGCCGAGGCAAACACGTATGTAGGTATAAGTGTTTCTATAGTCGGATCACGGCACCATAGAGTCTATCGATGTCAAACTTTGAAAAACTTTAGTTTCGTTGTTTTGGCGGAATAATTGCATGCCCCCCCTCTATTTATTTTATTTTAAACATATACAATTTTAAATGTCATAACACGTCTTTTCTAAACAATTTGAGTCAAAATCTTCATAAAAAGAATTTTTCAACTTTCAGTTTCTTTTTGCATAATTTCGTGAAAATAATTTTTCGAACAATGGAAAAATCACACCAAACATTGGGAGGAAGGTCCTACCTATGTAATTTTTAATTGTAACCTTTATTTTTCTGAGAGTGGAAAGCAGAAACCAAAAAATTAACTGAAATTCTATCTTATTAATTGGTTGAGCCCATATCTTTTGCGAGTTGTAGACTAGACGTTACAAAGATCCAATCTTACCCATATTTTATATTTAGGGGTTTGCTTTTCCCATGTGAAATTAGAGCACATGTTATGGGCTGATTATGCATACTTCGCATAACTTCGCACAACTTCGCATAAACTTCTAACTGTAATTTCGTATGTACTTTGTATGTATTTTGTATGTATTCCATTACCCAGAAATTAGCAGAACTTTGAAAAACTTAGCGATCTGTTGAGTTTAGATTTTGCTTCACATTTTCTTAAGTTACACTTTTAGTGCACTGGTACAAATGGTTGTGCGAGGTTATGCGAAGTATGCATAATCAGGCCCTTAGGCTATCTATTATTTCCACCTCCGTATAGTCAAAACACTGTGCAATGTGAGAAATAAGAAACCGATTTAAAAACAAATACACTTTTCAATTTCAAAGCGTATTTGAATTAGGGTTATGTATCCATTTGGAGTAATAGCGAACTGAGTCAAAGCGCATCATGTGGCGGTATAAACATGGTGACTGGTTAAAATTAGATGATTCATGGATCGCTATTGAGGTAACTGTCTAAAAGTGTGCAACGGCCAGTTCTTGTCCCATCAACTACGAACTAAGCCTGGGATTATCCGTATATTCGGATACGGGCTCGAATATTCGTGTGTTCGGATAAAATCCGATTAGTACGGATATTCAGTTAACATTTGTTTTTTTGGTTAGCCGGATAGTTGTAAAGCTTTCCTATTTGTCCCAAAAAACACGTCACATTTAGTCTCATTTAAGCGACAGAGCTTTAAGCAGTGCTGAAACTTTACCACAATTGTGGTAGAACTACCACATTTTCAGTCATTTTTTACTTCTCCCACATTTTTAAAAAATCTACCACAATTTTACTGAACTAAAGTTATTAACCTAATGCATAAAAGTTGAACAGCAAATTTTCTCCTGAATATGAATTTAAAAGTCAGAATATTGTGTTAGTTCAAGAGCTGAAGGTGCTGCCAAGCATTTCGAAATTTCTATTGCGTAAATGAAGGATAAATGCTGGCTTTCATAAATCAAATTCAGTGGCATTTGTCGTCAAATAAATGAAAACACGTTATCAAATGGAACTAAAAATCGGTTTATCGATTGACTTAGATCAGAATAGGCCGTGTACATGTGCTGTTTAATTGACTATCTGTCTGCTATTGGTAAAGTTGTGCCAAAATATGTTGCCAAAATTTGTTAACAAAATAGTTGCGTTCCTTATCTCGCAGAAACAGTCAGAAAAAGTCAGAGGTAGTCAGATTTAGTCCAAAAACGTTCCTTAACTCGAAAATGACAGCAGAAAGCAGAAAGAGCAACACTCAGTGAGAGTGACTCTCTTGAGTCCGAAGTAGTCAGATTTAGTCGGAAGAATTTTTGCTGGCAAAATCTTGAAAAGTGTCAAACTCAACTGAATTTAAATTAACGGAAATTAAAGAATACACCAAAAGTGAGAATAATCTAAAAAGTTAAAAGAAGTGAATTGAAAGTGGAAAGAGG